TGGGCGGGGTGGGGTGGGTGGGGTGGGGTGGAGAGACGCACACACAATACCAAGTGGAGGGAGGACATGGGAAATGTGTTCTTCAAAGGATGCGACCGAAGAACCTCGGCTGGACATGCAGGGTCCTCCCCTGTTGTCCTTACATCAACCTGCCAAGGTAGGCTGAGAGGGGATGGCTGGTCAGGGGCACCCCACCTCACGAGGACTGGCCAGTTTCCTCCCGGATCCCACTACAAAGCCAGGGACCCATTTCCCAGCCCCGGTCTGTACCTTTAACCAGCTGCTCTGCTTGGGAATGACAGACTAACAGGGTAGAGATGCACGAGAGGACGTGATGCCAGTTCACTTCGCTTGTCTCCAGGACCTGCTGCAAGCGGTGCATGAGCTCCTCTGCTTTGAACACCACAAACAGCTGGAAAGAGGAGGAATCACTTTTGAAATAGTGGGGAGGAGCCTTGTGATTGATGGCTCCTAGCCCCCCCAAGGTGGTCCTTCTGCTCGGTGGGCTAGAGGTTAGACTTGAGCGAGGGGCCCTCGAGGGATCACCAGGGATGTTGGCCCTTTTTCACATTCCACAAGGAAAAAAACTACTCTTCCTCCCCCCTGCCTTGCCCTGCCTCGAGTCAAAAATGGAAAATATCCAGGATGGTCCTTCCTTTTCCTTTCCCTTCCTCCATCTGTTCTGCAAGCCTCTTGGCAAAGCAAGCTTGCTGGTGCATTTCTTGGCTTCCCCCCACTTTTAACACGTTAGCCGCTCTTCTGGGCCAGAGAACCAGGTCCTGTTTTGTAATAATTGAAAGGAATAATTTCTAAGTAGTCCCAACGTTGCCCAGATTGCACGTGACAGGGATTATTGCACGAAAACCCGAGAAGCACAGCCTTACTTATTACGCAGTAATGCTAAGGAGCATTCGCTGTAAAGGAAGACATACTTTGCGGTATAACGTAGCAAGCGCCGAACTGGTTCTGGCAAAGCTCCATTCCCTCTGCAGACTGATGGCATCGGACACTGTTCGGAAAGGCAGGGAGGGGGGAAACACTAGTTTCATAGAACAATAAGAGCAGTACTGCAGAAGAAACATCTTCACTTGCTTGCGTCTGACAAAACAGGCAGGCCATTCATTTCTCGCGGCTCTTCAGAACAGCCACCCCACACGCCACCCTTCCCTCCCTCCCTCCCTCCCACAGGTCGCTGCTGAAGAGTTGAGTCATCAGTGGAGAATCAAGGACCCCGGGGACCGAGAGCTTCTGTGTTCTAAGCCTCAGTCACCTTGCAGGAAGGGCACAATGCAGGAGGAGTGGAAAAGGAGACCTTAAGATCAGATCTAACCGTCCGTAGGGCTTCAGTTGGCTGCCTGAGTTCCATCACCAACTTCCAGGGGACACTGAAATCCTGTCCTGTCCTGTCCTACCCCATTCCATCCCCAATCACTGTGGAGCCAAAAGGCAGTTCCAGAGCTTGAGTCGTGTTAACTATTAATAATTCAGGAGTAATACATACATTCCGGCTTTGTCCTCAGTTTCAAGAACTTATTTGACTGAGCAACAACAAATGTGTATCTCAGAATAGATAAAGACAGTTAGAAGGAGCGAGACTCTGCAGGCCGCCGTGTTCCAACTACACGGATCCCCTCTACTCCGCAGCCCTGCCTTCAAACACACACCAGACAGAGATGCTGGCAGCAGCCTGGTGCGTAACGGGGAGCTGCTCCAGAGCCTCCTGGAGGCATTTCAGGTGTGGCAGAGGGTCCCCCAGAAAGACCTCCCTCCCCCTTCTGCGATTCACCCGGCCCCCTTCCAGGAGCCCTACCTTTCAGATGAGGATCGTAGGTGAGCACTTGGGTGAAGATGTGCCCAAAGAACTGCTGCAGAGACTCGGGAGGAACAGTCCCTTGGGAAGCCATGATGCTATATACCTGGAGCCTGTGCGTGAAGAGGAAAAATGTCCAAATACACAAGAACAATGAGTCAGCATGCCTGAGAATTACTGCTAATTGCTCCCATTTTCTCAGTAAGTAGGCATTGACCAGGAAGGCTGTAAATAAATGATAAATATTTATTTTCTGATTATTACTCAAGCGCTTGAAAAAAAAATATAAAAGCATGCTATTATTAGTAAATATAATATCCTCAACACAATTCAGCGGGCAAACCTTTGGACCTACAGAGAACTGCTGCTGGAAACAAGAGTTCCATTCTGCTTTGTAGTCATGGGAGTGAAACAACTTGGGAAGCACGTGCCACTGAATGGATCTCTTGCAGAGCTCAGAAATGCTCTGTTCCCCAGTTTGCTGCTCTCCAAATCCCTCCCTCTCACACCCCTAACCTTGGGGAGCAGTCAGATCCTTACCAGCATTTCACTGCCTTCAGTGTGGGGGACGCACTGTCCTGCTTCTCCTTAGCTACAGCATCAAGAACCCCTAAAAAAAAGGTAAATAAAAGGGTGCACCTTCACTAAGGAGAAGCTAGCTTAAAGCAGGACCATACCGATCCTTTAAGGAGAGGGCCTTGTTAGGAGAATAGGGGAAAGAAAGAGCCATTGGAATAATCTCTTAAGAGTAGAGAGTGGAACCTTAAGCTTGATCAGGGTAATGGCCTGGGAGCATTTTATTTATTTATTTAAATTTATATGCTAGCCCTATCCCTAACCCTTGAGGTCTGAAAACCTGTCCTACTGTTGTAATAGATTTACTGCAGAACCACTTCTGCAGGGAACACCAGCTGCTCATTAGCATGGATGGGAGTGAAAAGCAGAAAGCTCTGTATTTTGGAACAAAGCAACCTGGAGACCAAAGATCTTCGAAGCCAGTGTTGTGGTAGAAGTCCTTCCCTGAGAGAATAGCGCCCAGCATTCTTCCAGCTATGCGATACAAAGTGGGGGAAAAATGCCCAACAATTCACAGATGGGCAGTTTGGAAATTTCAGTGTCGCTGAACACGCACACCTACAAGGACGTAATGCGGTTCGAGCTACTTGTGTGGTAGCAATGTCTCGTCAGTGATTCCCACTGCTTGTGTGTGGAGGGATCAGCTGGAAAGCTAATTATGTACCCAGCACATTCCAGCATGCCAGAGAAGCCTCTCTCGCAAGTGCGATGACACTCCTGATCCCAACCCAATCCGCTCCTACAACCACCACTTACATGCCAACATTCTCTCAAGCACAGCACAGCAGATCTGCAAAATAAAAAAGCAGAGTCACCAACTTTTCAGTAGGCGTTAGCAATGTTATATTTTGCCCTCCTCCGAGATTTCAAAGCAGCATACAGAGCACCTTCTCCTGTTTTTTTTAATTAATTCCCCCATGGGGGAGATTGACCAGAGAGAAATTGAAAGTGGGCTTCCATGGCCGAGGGGGGCCTGAACTTGGATTTCACTCACCTGAGCCTATCCCCTCAACCTCGCGCTGGCTCTCCTGTAACTGAGGCCTTCGCCATTCCAGCATGCTGCATGAGCTCAGCCCAACCGTGGGCCATTAAATGAGCAATGGCTTGCTGCAGTGCACAAACCCAGCTGATCAGTGACTGGAAAGAACTTCATAGGATGTTAGGCGGGGTTTTTCCTAGGCCACCCTGGGGATGGTGAGGACTGGCTTGTTTCATTTATATCTGGTGCTACAGAGCAAATCTGTTCTATTCTTACTTCAGAAATCTTCTTCATTTCCAACTTCTTTTCAAACTCAAATGTTTTCGGAAATCCATTCTGAAGGAGCACAATAGCAAAGTCTAGATATTAAGAAGAAAGCCCAGGTCAGGGATCTCCTATGCCAACTGGATGAGGCAAGAAAAGATGTAGGATACAATGAAAGAGGGGCTGCAGACAAGAAACTGTGCCCAGAAACACCTTCCAGACTCAGTGGGGTCCCCTTTCGCTTTAATAAAACCTAACTGATGAAGCAAAAAAAAGGAAGAAGCATCAACAGACATCAAAACTCCAGCCCTATATTCCTCAGTAATTGAAAATTTCTCACATTTTTCTGCCCCAGTTTGTACTTGCCCTTTGCTACAATTATTCTAAACATAAAATATTCTAAAGTCTGGCAGAAGCCAGTGTATGTGGAAACGGCATGTCATAACAGTCGGGGGCCTGGCTGTTGGCTCAACAAGTCACACCAATATTTAATAGCACAAACGGAAGAGATTTAGTTTCAGTGGACAGGCAGCTATCACAGGACTCTGGACTGGGTCTCATGTAACTGGAGAGGAGCTCAATTAAAAAGCTACGTTGGGAGGAAACCAGGCCTGCCACCCCGCAGAGCAGGGCAACAGCCAGTACGTGCAAGGTAGTTCACAAGCCTTGGCCTGTTTCTGGCCATCAGCCCCACACCCGTCGTTTCTGTCCTGCCTTGCCTGCGAGAATGTTCTGCCCGGTCTCTGTGCCCAGGGGCATCTCTTCCATCTGATGGCACAGGAGACAAAGGCTGCTGGACCACCAATCCACCAGCGCCGGTATATCAGGACTCCTGAGAAGACACAAGAGTCCGCATCATTTGCCCTTTTCCAAAGATAGTTTCTCCCCTCCAAGCATTCAGCTAAAAGGACAAAAATGCACCGTTTGCTCTTAGCCTGAAATTTAAGTTCAGAACCAGAGAAAGTCAAAGTCAAAGTTTATTGCAGTCCTGGACCAGTACAACCAGAGAAAGCAATTTCGCATCATGCATCCGCTTGGCTTTGCATCCATGTAAATGCAGCTATTGTTCCCACTGAATAAACTACATAGGGATGTAGAACCTTTGTTCAGCGTTATCTAAACCAACTAGCAGCTGTTCTCCATGGTTTCTACAACAGGCTTTCAACAATGAGCAAACCTTTAACCTCCACATGCAAAGCGGATGCTGGAAGGAAGGCCACAACTGTTTTTAACCTGGCTTGGGGTGGACCAACAAAGGCTGGATTTTAAATCCAACACTTTGACTGCCCCTGGGCAAGGTGGCAGCTTGTACTAAGCAGAACCCAATAAAGACATGCCACCTATTTCCAGCACGGCTTAAATTTGTAATTCCCAAATCTCCTTTGCTATGGGAGAATAACAGGTTGTGCCTATTTATTTTCAGGAGGCAGCCGCATCAATGGTTTCAGCATGTGAAACAGTCGGGGTGATACTTCAAGACTTGCCACTGAAGTTCCAGCCTTCATGGGAAGCACTTGTTTCAAATGCAAAGCACTCGGGGGTAGCAGACAGCGCCGGGATTTGAACTCATATCTTGCAAAAGGCTTGAGTATGTTTTGCATTTTAAGCCCTTCAGCCTGATCCGTGTTTGGCAGTTCCGGGACCCTGTTTGCATTCAATCATTCTTTATCATCCTTTATCACTCTTGGAACTGTTCTTCTGTTACAATTTGCCAAGAATCATCACAAATCTTGCTCAGTGCGCATCTGTCTTACAAGTGGAGGATCCAGGCTTCCACAAACAAGAACCCAAAATGCTGACAGAGGTCACATCAAGCCAAAGCCACAGGCAAACGTTCAAGCCTCTACCTACTTCTCCAGTAATTCTTCCAAACGAACAATGTTCTCTCTGTGCAGGTGCCATGCAACTTCCAAAATAAGTGGGCGCTGGGGGAAATAATGCTAAGGTCAGATCATTTGGAATGCAAAGATGCCAAGCTGATGCCAGCAACCCAACAACTTGCCACCACCCAAAGACCACCCAAGTAACTAACTAGGAGGTCCATGTGCCTTGCCAAACCCTACACGCCCTCCTAAGGCTACCCTGCAGCAGAACCACAGGACACTGAACGGACCGCCAGATATGGTAGCCATCGCGTTCTTTGGAAATGTTCAGTGTGAGTCAAAAGCCACAATGAGAGTCTAGCAGGGCAGCCCTCAGGAATTTGCTACTGATTTATATTTCAATACGTGTCGTTTGGGAGGTCAGAGGATGACTCAAAAGAAGTCTGCATTTTTGTGCAACACCTGGACGGAGCAACCTGATCTGGCAGAGCAAGTAAAGTTGGAACAGCGGAGCTTCTGAAAAACCAGCACCTGCTAGATCCCTTCCAGCAGAACAAAACTGAGGGAGGAGAGCCATTTGTGTCTCCCCCCCACCTCTCTGTCACGTATATTTTTTTTAATCATTTCTAATGGTTTCTATGGGAAAGAAATAAGCCACGCCAGCTCTGAGGCTGCTTTAGTTTAGGCATCATTTTATCAACATGTTGGGGAACTAAAAGACCGGCAATCCCTCCCAGTACCCTACTTGGTTCCTTACACCTCAATTCCAATGTTAGAAAGAACTGGCTCTGGAACTAGGAGCGGATTTCCAAGCCTGTACCCCCCTCTCCATCACGGGAGCACTTACTTTCTCCCCATCCTTAAGAGGAGAGCAACTGAGAAATCGTATGGCCCCCAGGATGGCCTTAGTCATTTAAGCTTGTTACCAGATGAACTGCCGTATATGCATATACAGATTCTCTGCCTGCATCTCCCTCTCAGCCCTAATGCTCTTACCTGCATTTTCCACATTTCTTGAGCAAAAACAAAATGACAGAAAGCATTATCAGTTATTAATTCCTTCAAGGACTGGAACAAACAAAACAACTTCTTCTGCAATTAGAAAAAAAGAAAAGAAAATGGAGTGATTTGAATAGGTTTTTAGTCTGTTGCCTAAAACAGTAAATCTATGTTTATACATAACACTTAGCCTTTTTTTTTTTAATTTGTTGAAGAAGACATAGGGGTCTGGTTCACAGTGTAAACGAAGTATATGGCTTAGCATTATTTTTGAACAGTTAATGAACTAATCCTAAATTCATATATATTCTTCAAATCCTGAATGACAGTGCTTTTTTGGAAAATTAACTACCCTTTTAAAACATTTATTTAAAATACTTGTAGGCTGCCTTTTTAGGTCTTGTAAAACAATCGTCCTATAAATCAACCTTCTTCCACTAGCCTGCAATTCTCAGAATTTCCAATGGGTGTTTCAGGAACACTAACCACTATTTCATCTTCAGTTCCCTCCACCCCGCCACACATGAAATTGGTATATTTCCCTTACTCTCTGTTCTGCATTCAGTAGCGTAGTTTGATCAGACTCCACAGAGATCTTCTCAATGATGTTGGCTGCCATTCTGGCTGATAAGATTCCCACTGGCATACCCAGCATAGAGGCCTTATCCTTCAAGGCTGAGACTAGAACAGAAGAGAAGCATCTTAAGGTAAAGCAAAGAGGGAAACTGTCCAGACTTTAAATATACCACCCAAAATTGCAGCAGGCAATAGCGCAATGGGACGGGACTGAAAAAGCAACGAAGAAGAAAACCCCAATAGCTTGCATAGACATTGAAAAGGCTCAGCTTGCAGGCAAGGAAAGACAACTGCATGAATTCTGGAAAGCTACACCTGCCCGTAACTAGTGACCATACTGGACTAGACAGTCTCAATATTCTTCTTTTACTGAACAGACATTTCATTTCAGACACTCTCCCTGGCAAAACAAATTCTATTCACCCACCTACAAATTGCTCTGGAACTGAAGCTTTGCTTCCGCCTCTGCCAAAGTTATTGGAAAGTACAGACTCGCTATGTTCTGAACTTCCATTCTGCCGCAAAAAAGAGAAAAAGGGCAATTGTCTTGACTGTATTACGTATCAAATCCTTTGGTCATTCCCGGCCTGCTCCAGACACAACATGAGGCATTACTAACTCATCAAATATGCCAGAACCCCCAAAGGAACACAGTGCTTCTCTAAGATGGAGATATCCTCCCAGAATACTTAAAAGAAACATCCCATAGACAGAAAATACTTAGCATTTTTAAAAAGGCACGGCCGCGTATACTAACATTCTGCAGCCTGATAAACAAGGTCATCAACAGGGAAGCTAAAGGTGGCTATAATATCTAGTGGCCAGTCTATACTTCTTCCGCCTATGGACCTTTTCAGCAGGGCAATCCTTTAACCATCACGGAGCACTATTGGCATTAATCCGCTATGAAATCAAGGCTGCCACCCTGAAAAAGGGAGTAAGCGCCACTGAAAGGTAAGTCGTCGTCGTTTTGGCTAAATCTGCTCTACTTTTCTTATCAAAGTCCTCTACTGTTGTGTTTTAGCTGTTTTACGGTTCCAAATATTCTACCGAACGTTATTATCGATATCACCGCTTCTAAATGGCGTCAACTGATGGCCTATTGCTGTTTATTTTCCCCCTGCTTTTAACAATGAAGAAGCCAATCAAAATAGTGTAGATCAGGGTTTCTCGATCTCGGAGCCTTTAAGATGTGTGGACTTCAGCTCCCAGAATTCCCCAGCCAGCATGGCTG